AAATCGTTTTTTGGATTTTTTAAAAAAACTAAAAGGGAGCAATTTTTTATATTTATCAATATGGACGGAGCAAATCGGGAGCATTATTTTGAGCTATTGATTGTTTAGAAATTTTCATCTTGCGGGCTAACTTCACGAGGGTGCTCCGTCCATAGATTGTTAGGTCCATGACGGCCGCACTGTGCGACACGTAAGTGTCGGCACTGTCGGCTGAGTGGCGGGCAGTGGCGGGTGGTGGGTAGGGATTGGCACGGACCTCGTGACACTTTTCGTGCGTTTTGAAGGATCGTCGTCGTCGTCGTCCGATTGCCTCGCACTGCTCACACTCGATTATGCTGTATAGACACGTAGACACGCGTCAGCAGTATGAACGCGTTCCTACATACGCTGCTAGTGCTCGCACATCTCTTACATAGCCTGTACACCGCGATCCGTTACGCGTGCGACGCAATGTATCGGAGGTGCACGGAGCCCTGGTGCCCAAGCACGTCGGCGGAGCTTAACACGCTCGTCCGTACACTCACCACCCACAAGAGGACACCCAGGCATCTGGTGATCGTGCTTGGACTGTGCGACGAGTCCGTCCTGGACTGTGTGCGTATAATTGGATGGTGTATTACACTTGATATACCTTACATCAGCTTCTTTGATCGTAATGGTAAAAGAACGATTTCGATATTGATATCACTATGTCTGTATGTGAAAAATCATCGCGAAAAAAAATTCAAAAGAAAAAAAAGAGATCGTTTTGATGTGTATATTTATGTTATGTGTGTATGTAGTTTATGTGAAGTATCATTTGTCGAGTGTCATTTGTCATGTGAATTTATCGTGCACCTGTCGTACAAAAACTTTTATTGTTGGTTGCGAACGTTATCGTATTTCAATAGCTCCTTGACCCGATATTCGACAGCTTCTTGGTCTATTCCGATCTTATATTCAAGATTGTTTCAAGTACAGTCGCCCGATATAAGATCATTTCATTGATTCAATGAAATAATCAGGAATAATTTATTTTAACTCAGCAATAGTCACCTATTTATTTTTATTGTGTAAATGATCACTTGGGATAATTTATAATTTTTTTCATTTCAATTAAAAATGATTATTATTAACTGCATATTGTGTATTATTAATTGTCCTACAATTTATTAATTATTTCAGATCATCATTTATGTGTATGAATTTATTCAATATTTTTCTGATGATCAAAAAAGTAGAGATAAAAAATAAATATAGACTCATTGAGTAAAAAAAATTAGAACTTTGTTTATCTGAACATGTTGGGAAACAAATATGGAAAAAGTTATATTAATATAACTTTTCAAAGTTTAATTTTATAAAGTTATATTTTATAAAGTTATATTCTCAATTTTCTGGCAAAAATATGCGCAAAACAAGCATTTTCCATAAAGGAAATGAATAGAACAAATGAACAGAACAAAGAAAGTGGACTTAAACATAAGGAATTAGGAAAAAGTCAAAGTAGGAAGAAAAATTGATTTGTCTGCCTCTGACTTTATTTCTAATTCCTTATATTCAATTTTTTATTCCTTATTCTATTCATTGTGTCTGAGCCCTAATATTACTCGTAACACTGGCTTATAATTGGCTTCTTTTTTTATTAACATTTGTAAATGTTTAACAGAAAGAAACTAATTCATAAACTCTAACAGAAATCTTATAAATGGTCACGATTTTATTATTGTGAATTATTTACTTATGAATACTTAATGTGAAAGAAATCTTAAAAGTCTTAAAACCATGATGTAGAAGACAATAATGTTGAAATCGTTAAAAGAAAAAAACTCACGTCATGAAAAAAATCGTTTTTTTTTCCAAAGTTTCCATGAACTTTTCTTGGAATTTTTCTGAGGACACTAATTCCGGTAGTAGAAACTGATAACAACTGAAATAAGCTCTCATTATCCAAGTAATTCGGATAATGAAAGCTTAATACTAGGTATGGGTCTATATTTTAAACTGAGCTAAAAATAAATTTGTATAAATGCGTAGTGTAAGATAAACAGAATTCTACAATATTGTGACTGATTGTTATTTCCTCGTTGCTGGGGTATAAAAATTATTATGGTGACTATTCTTATTAAGACTGTCCATGATCAGACTATGAATATCGCCCTTCATCATCAAATACAATATCTTGGAGCAATTGTACTTAGCAAAGTAGCAGCTTCATGTTGCAAATTTTAAGTTAAAATGTACATTGTTTCATACATATTATGACTACAATGTCTAGATGTACCAGAATATACGAGTGCTAATTGAAAGATATTTTTATTATATATAGCAACATTAGTAAAAATATCTGTATATTGAAATTTTTAATCAATTTATAGTCAGTTGGAAGGATTGTATGTATTAGTTGCCGTAACAAAATATTGAATTTTGCAATAAGGTACAATTTAGTTGCTTCAACTTCATCAGCTATACTTTATACTTCACTTTGTACATTTGTTATTTCTCAAAGTGACTTGTATAATCAATTCTGTCAAATCCATTAATGAATAAGTTGTCTTGCTTCTGATTAAGTTAAGTTTTTTGATTAAGTTAAATTAAGTTTCTATTATTTTCTGCTTTATTGCATCATACAATGGTCAATGACATATACATATAGCATCCGAGCATTCATATAGTTTTCTTATAGAAAGCGTAAAGTTGGCATATTGTGCAATATTATTGATTGATTATTGCCAAAGAAACAATGTAATAAAGAGGCATCTTTATGTATTCTTTTTTCTTTTCTTCTAGCAATTTTCCAAGCTTTTTCTCCAAGTAATCAACGTTGATTGAAAAGAGAAGTATACATGTAACTCCTTTTTTTCAATCACTATTAGTTATTAAAAGAAAAAAGTTTGGAAAATTACTTGGAAGAAAAGAAAGAAGAATTCATAAAGGTGTTTCGTTGGTTGCATTCCACTTAATGTTCATAACGTTCTTGAAATCATTTCATTGTTATTTATCAAATAAGGACAAATAATGCTTGCGAGCGTTGCAAGCGTTAAGTGGAACGCAGTCTTTGTAGCACAGTTTCTGTGTCAACTAATTAACTTCATGCTAGAATTTGAATGCTCGGTCTAACAAGAGAACTGTTCCTCACCGATTTTAATGATATATCACAAAGCATAAAAAATATTAAACATTTTTTTAAATTTATTTATCTCAAGGTTTAACAGTTAAAATTAATAAATGTGTGCGGGACCATTCCCTTGTGAGTATACATACACACATATGTCATTAACATTATATCATTAAACCATTGCTGATATAATCGTTAATCTTTTTCGCTTGTTTTTCCAATATTATTCATCATTTCTGTAGAACACCCAAGTTTCTATGCCGACGCTTCATAAACACATGTAACATTGCAAAAACTAAATTTACTTATGCATGAGTGTCCCTTATTTCGAATGCACATGAAAATAAATTTGCCATGTGCAATGCGTAAACATTTTGACCTTGTGGCATGATGCAAGTACTACTTGCATTATGACCTTGTGGATATAACCTTCAATTAGTTTCGAAGCCACATTATTAATTTAATACGATAATTTCAATTGAGACATTTATCGCGAAAGTGCACTAACTTCCCAAAATTCGGTTTTCTATTTTAAAACGTTAAATTAATAACTTATGAAATCATTAACGATTAAAATAGGAAATCGAATTTTGGCAGTTAGGTCACTTTTACGACAATCTCAATTTCAACTAAAAAATGAATCATATACATTTTAATATGTTGAGCTTATTTCTGTTGCATGTATTAGTAATATCTTTATATAACCAAATAATAAGTTAGTTACGTTAATTTAATAATTATAATGATATGTTATAAGAAATTATAAACATAAATTATATTTATAAAGTAAAATAAGAAGGAAAATTTACAAAACATATAATTTATGAGAAACCACATCTTTCAATTTAAGAATACGAAAAATTGCTGTGCAAATAAGTTTTTCCGATTTATATTGTTTTTTTTTAGGTTTCTTCAAGAAAAATGAAATCAATCTTAAAGAAGAATTCGCGAGAAAGCGGCCTGATCTAGTAGAGCATATTATTTGGAATCCACAAGCAAAGGCACCTAGTCAAAATGGAGTAATTGGTAGAGTAACATTTCCTTTACCTTTCCATACCTCAGTAATATCAATTATTTCCAACAATAGTGAAGGTCTTTGAATAGTTTCACAATGTTAATTATATGTTCTTCCATGTGCGCAGTTGCATACGAAATAATATGTAAGGCGCATGTCATGTTACCTAATTGCGTTAAAGATAAAATTGTTGTGTGAAATAATTGTAATACATTTCTAATTTTTTTTCTGCAAGTCACGATATTCTAAACTTATTTAATGATCGATAGGAAACATATCGGTCATTAGAAAGAAATACGGAAGTTAAAAATAGAATATTTAATATTATATTTTTAAATATTAAATATTTTGAATATTATATTTTATTTTTAATATTATATTTTTAAATATTAAATTAGTATTCAACTCACTATTAAAGAAATACGGAAGTTAAAAATATAATATTTATATATTTTTAACTTCCGTATTTCTTTAATAGTGAGTTGAATAGTGATTTAATATTATATTTTTAACTTTCATATTTCTTTAATAGTGAGTTGAATAGTGATTTAATATTATATTTTCAACTTCCGTATTTCTTTAATAGTGACCGACATTTTTCTTATCGATCATCAATGGCCGTCATGATAGTTAAATAAATAGTTAAATAAATAATATTTCTTATGCAACTCGATCTACTATAAATGGAAAATTATATAAAATATTTGTTCACATTGTCCTTTTTAATATAAAATCATTTCAAATCAAATCGGCGTGAACGGAAAATCAGCTAAAATACGCTTGACTGTAAACGCGTTAGAATTATTAATCAATAATTATTAATCAACAATTATTTAGTTAAATATTTATATAATTAATGTCTTTTGCCGCTTATGTCATTGCTAATTGCGATATTTTAATTGCAGGGAGCAAGTCGAAAATAAATGTATCATTGCTGTCAGATATAGATGGTAAAGGGAAAATAGTGACATTGACACAATCATTGGCAAAAGCTGTGTCTTTGGGGAACCTTGACCCGGAAGAAATTACGGACGAATTAATCACCGAAAAGTTGCAAATAAAAGAGATACCCGATCCCGATCTCGCTTTAATATACGGTTACACTTGTTCTACGCATGGTGTTCTACCATGGCACACGAGAACAACCGAATTTTTGTGAGTTTCTAAGAAATTATTATAAATATCTGCCAATAACTTTAAAAAATCTTCCTTTTTTAAAACAATGTAATTTTTTTCCAGAATGCTGCCGCTGTACGTTAATATCTCAGTGAAAGATTTTACGTGTCTATTAGAGAGATATAACAAATGTGTACAACGGTATGGTAAATGATATGTAATTATTCTTATTTATATAAGAGATACTGCGTTTCAGTGAGAAGAAATAAATTATCATAAAGACTGAACTTCCAATGTGATTATTTTACATACATTACAAGTGCAAAAATCAATTTTTATGATGATATTAGATACATTAATATTATGATAAAAAGATACATACGTAAAAGAATGTACTTCAGAAAAAAGCATTTTCTCCATCGTTTTTTTTCCGATCAAAGTTCGATATTTGAATTTTTAAGCATTTGATTAAAATTGTGATACACTTGTTATGTAACTACATATGTAGAAAAAGAAATTTCTTGTTATATTTTTATTTTCACACAGGCGTAAAATTTGCTTTGTGTAATAAATGCAATCTTTTCGCATAATCTACATTAATGTTACAAATATATGTTTGAAAGGCTAAGCTATAATAAGGTAAGGAAAGAACTTACAAGGGGATACACAGAAGTGTCCCCCTCTGATTTTAATGTGCTTTTGATATGTTAAAATATAGATAAAAATAAGATATTAACAATTTTTTATACATACTGAGTGTGCCACGTAAAGGGGATGATATCCAGGTTTGAAAAAAATCGGTTTTTTTCTTTCTGAGTAAATATCATGTGAACTGTCAAAGATGAAAAAATGTTTTAAACAAAAGTTGTAACGATTTCAAGTGCGCTTTACAATGGGGCATTTTAATTTTTGAAAATTAAGGGTGAGGGGTAGTAAAAAAATATGATTTTTTTTAAATTAAAATGCATCAGTGTAAAGCACACTTGAAATCGTTACAACTTTTGTTTAAAACATTTTTTCATATCTTTGACAGTTGACATATTTATTCAGAAAGAGAAAAAACCGATTTTTTTTCAAGGCTGGATACCATCCTTGGATATCACCCTTTAACGTGCGACTCAGCACGTATAAAAAATTGTTAGTATTTTATTTTTGTCTGTATTTTAACATATTTAAGTAAAGTTCATTAAAATCGAAGGGGGACACTTTTGTGTGTTCCCTTGTTAGAAAATGGAGAAAGAGAAAAGGAGAGAGAGAGAAAGAAAAAAAGGAGTATAAAGATATGTGAGGAAAAAAAGGAGAGAAAGGAAAGAATGATATTCCGTGGGAGGCGCGGAGCAGGCGGGTGACCTGCTCCGGGTCTCTGCCTCCCGCGGGGAGTGGGGCGGGAGAGGGCTGGTGTCTTCCCCTATCCATAACGGGATTGAGGGTCTCGAAAGAGAATGGAACTTCAGAGCCACGAAATGGCACATGCGAGAGAGCCGAAAACGCGGAGAGGCGGAGGAAGTCATGCGGTAAGCGTTCTCCGGTACATCCTCCGTTCCTTCCCTGAGAGGCGGAGGTATCCATGATGGATTTCCTCACGAAAAAAAAATGGAAAGAAAGTAGTGAGGGGAAAGGAAAGGAGGAACAGGAAGAAAAGGATAAGGTAATTAGGAAATTAAAGAACGGTAAGGCAATGCGAAGAGAGGAGGAAGGTGCCAAGTGATGCATGGAAATATGAAAGGGATGAGGTGGAAAAGTGGATATAGGAAGTATGTAAAAGGATGTGGAGAGAGGAAGGATGACCAGAACAGTGAAAAGAGGAACGAATAGTACCGGTCTTGAACAAAGGAGAGGAGAGAGTAGAAAATTAAAGAGAAGTGACGCTTATATCGTCTTTATACAAGATGTGAGGTATTAGCGGAAAGGTTGAGTGAGGAGGTAGAAGTAGAGAGTCTCATAGGAAGAGTGGCAAACTAGTCACGTGAATGGGACTTGATGAACCGCAACCAATCAAATAGACTGAGTTTTGTCATTCTCTTCCAATGAGGCTTTTTGCTATGGAACTTGATGGACCGCAACCAATCAGAAAGACCGGGTCACGCTACAAATTTGCAATTCTCTCTTTATGAGGTTCTCCCTAGAGAGAGAGGTAGAAGGAAAAGGAATTTTATCATAAAATCAGGTTGGTTTGAGGAAAGGAATAGGAACGATAGATCAAGTATACGCACTAAACTACTTGATAAATAGGCAATTAGGAAGGGAAAAGGGTGAAATGTATCCATTGTTCGTAGAAGGCGGCATTGGATTCAGGATAGGAGAATTTTAATTAGGACGATGAGGGAAGGATTGGTGAGGAGAGTGAAGGAGGTATTGAGGGAGACGAAATGCAGGGTGAAAATAGGAGAGAAGTGAAGAGTTTTGGTTGGCGAGGAGTTATATTAAGTGGACTATGGGATTAGATTGGAGGACGCTGGGTTATATAAGGCCTGTTCTTTTCAGTTGAACTGGCTGCACTAGTTCACAGTTTATTTTTCTCTTTCTATATTGGAAAAAGAAAGATATACTCTGCCTATGGTAAGAGGGAAGGTGGAGAGATGGATAATGAGAGGAAGAGCAGGTAGAAGGATGTGGAAAAATAAAAATGTTGGAAGAGGGACGAGGAAGGGAGGTTGCAAGGAATGCTGGGAAGAAATGAGAGAAGGATGGGAAAAAGGAAATAGGAAGATGGGAACAGAAGAAAAAGGAATTTTTAAGAGAGGTATAAATGAAGAAGAAGAATTGGTAGAATATGAATAGAAAAATGGGATAGGAAAACACAGAGAAGAGAGAGATGGAAAAGAATAAGGGAGTCAAGGTACAAGCATAAGCCTAATAGCCATAATAGCGTTACATGTTGTAATAATTATAAAGGCGAACACTTACGAATATCTTACATAGCTTTATGATAAACTGATCAAATATAGATTTCGATAGTTTTACGAGTTTCTGATACCCAATGCTTGCTCCAGCTCCGCTCGTTTTTGCTGCACTTTCGTATAGAAATAACGACACACTGCTTCCTGTGCCCAAGGCTGATAATAAAATTCAGCTCTCCGTTCCTCTTCTGGGTTGCCAACAACGTCGGTCATGGTCTTCAAATCTCTGGTCTGAGAAATAATCCATTTGTTGATGAACTGTTGCGGATCTTTAGCGAAACTCAGGAAGAACTCGCGATTGGTCTTCAATTGATTAATCGTCTCGACTGTTTCATGAATTTTATTATCCAGACTTTGGATTTCCTGTTGGCTTGCGGTCGACAGCAAGAAATTATTCATTTGCGTCTTCAATGTATCATCTACTTCCACGTCGATATCGTAACACGCGGTCTGCTTCGTTTCTGTACCTGAATAATACAAATTTTTATATTACTCATAATCAGTTCTAGCTTATAATACAATTGCAATACTCCACAAAGTATTTTCTTCTCCTCACAAAAGGAAAATATTTATTCGAAGTAAAGGTAGCACTTCCCTCACCTTCTACGCTTATAACATGATTTATCACGATGGGATCAGGTGGATGCAATAATGGATTCAAACGTTGTGGTATCTCGGCAAATTTCATTCGCGGGCAGGCAAATATCTGTTCCAAGTATTTATCACAGTTAATAAATTCTCTCTCGTGACTGTCTTGGAGCTTGTGCGTCTTTATATATTGCCAGAGTGCAGATATAATGACGGGTCGCGTCTGCGTGTGCACGCCCAGCAACCGCGCTAATCTTGGGTCCAATTTAAACTGAAATATCGATTGATAGACATTAAATTTAAGATTAATGCGAATGAAACTAAATCAATTTTGCGACGAAATGTTCAGTTTATATAAAAATTGATTAATTTACGTATTAACTTATATAAAAAGACTACCTGCAGCGGCTGATAATCGAGAAGAAGAAGGATTGTGCAGCGAACATTTTTGTCGCCTGGTCTTTTAACTTGAAATCCGTCCGTTTCTTGAGTAGTTAACGTACGATGCCACTCGACCAAATGATTATCAGGTCCATAGAGATCTTTATCCAATTCTATTACCAAGCTTTTGAAGAAAGACGAAAACTTTCGTTTTACCTGCAAAATTTATACAATTGTTTGCTGGATATATTTATATATAAAATAATTTTTTTAGACCATATATTATAATTTTAAAGGCTAGAAAGAAAACCGGTATTTTGCAGCTGTTTCGTTCGCATGTTAAACGAAACATCGATGAGACGACTGTGCGACTGTTTCGTTCGCATGTTAAACGAAACATCGATGAGACGACTGTGCGGCTCTTTCGTTCGCATGTTAAACGAAACATCGATGAGACGACTGTGCAGCTGTTTCAGTATATATACATATACACTTATTAATTTTGTAATTATATTTTATAATCCACTTATACCTTATTAGGATCATTTTTAGTATCATCTAAAAGACGTCCTTCAACTCGAAGTTCCCAAGACGCTACAGATCCTTCTTCTCCTTCACCTGCCTCTTTAGCCGGATAAAATGTATTTGAAATAAAAATACGCAATTTTCGCTTCTGCTTCATCGGACGCTTCAAAGCTTCTTGAATATCAAGACGTTTTCGCATTATAGTCGCATCCAATTTTCTCTCGAACGCTAGCAAGTCCATATAAGCTTGTGATTCCGGTACCAAATCGCGTACTTTCTGAGGCAGAATTTTGTCTGCCAGTTTCTTCTTTTTCTTTGATGTGGAATGTGAAAAATCACTGTTCCAAAAATACCTAAATGAGTTTATTCGAAAATCATAGACACAGAAATTATAAATAATTCTGTAAGCCTTGGGTTGCAGTGGTTAGGTTCCTAATAGAACTTGGTGTCACAAATAAACAGAATAGTAACTGATTTGTGAGTTAGATTAGAAATATCGAGTTATGGACAGAAATAATATGTGTACAAAGTTACATATGCGCAGGAATACAAAAAAAGACAAACATGCAAGAGTAAGGACAAATTAAAAAAAAAACGAAACTAAAAAGGAGCTAATTGCTAACATATAATTAACGAAGTAATACAAAATTTTTACATACAAGATAAATGTAAAGCGTTTATCTTAAAACTTCTCTTGATAATTATTATACTTACGGTTTTTGTTGAGACATAGGAATACGTTGGTCTGCGCTTCTTTTTCCAACAGGTGGTGTGGGCATTGGGCCCTGACGCATATTTGAGTAGGGTTGATTTGGCCTCATTATTCCACCTGGGCCAGGCCCAGCATTACCCATTTGAGGTGGTGGAGTGAATCCAGATCTCTGCTGCATCTGCGACAGAAGTGGACATTTATATATCGTTCACACATGATTTATAGATTATAATTGTTACATAATATAATTAATTAATCTCAAAAGACATACCATTTTTTGGAAAATTTTTTGAAAAACTATGGCTAGATTATTTTTGACTCCTATACTTTATTGTATAATGAAAAATCTCGCTTTGTGTAAATATAGTACATAATATAGTACTTCCAGTCAAGAATTAAATATCATAAAATCAATATCATATTTAAATTGTAATCAATATTAATATTGTAGTCAATATTTTACTGATTATGTATCGGATATAAAAAGTATATTTACTGGAAAATTCGGCCCAGAGTATTGGCGCAAGTTTGGTGGTACTGACGATTGCGGGTATCGTTGAGGTGGTGGTCCATTACTTCCCGCATTTGGCACAGGAAATCTCTGTGCCATCTTTTCTTGCACTCTTTAAAAAGAAACATAAACAATTTTGCATATATATTTTTCTTGAAACTAAAATTACATACATGATCATATTATGCATGAATATACAATAAATGCAATAAGTGCGCGCGCGCGCGCGCCCCATATACACGCACACACACACACACACACACACACACACACACACACACACACACACGCACACACATACACACGCATACGCGCTCCACACACACACCACACACACACACACACACACACACACATACACACACACACACACCACGTACGCACATGTAGCGAAGTTAAAAAAACATAAAAACTAGGCGTTTTATTTATATACACTAGTTTGTGGAATTAAAACACGATGCGTGACAATCATAATCAATATCCAAGGCATAGCTATAACATAACCTTTGAAATAGAAAATCCGTTTCTACTAGCTTAATGTTACATATCGATTGTGAATATACGTGTACACTTATATGTAAAAGATGTCAGAAAAATGAAACATTTTGTGTGAAAGAAACGCCAAATGTATTCGTGCTCCTATAAAGATTTCGTGGTCACTTTAGATCACCGAATTTCACGAGAAATAAAACAAAATTATTGCGCTTTGTTCTGTGCCAGAGCATATACACGGTAATCCAATAACATTGTTTATAAAGCTTATTTTTGAGAATCGTGAAATAACCTTGTAACGCTTTAGTAGTTCGGCTTCGTGTTTGACTACGCCAAACGCTTACTCCGTTTTATGGCGCTTTCCTCTTCGCTTTTGCTTGTTTTCCCTAGAGATGAGCAACTCGATTAATCGATAATTTTCGTTTTTAAAGAAGTCGATCTTTTATAAATTCGATCAATCCCTATATCGACAGTTTTTTGTTTATTACTAAAATCAGGTATTAAACTATAGTGACTTTGACTAACAAAATTTCCCTACATCATGAGTGAATTTTAAAATGCTCCAATACCAATTTTAATCTAAGGCTGCGTTCCCACTGAGCGCGTCACGCGTCGCGTCGTCCGTCGCGTCACGATTAATTGACCAAAATATTCCATTTTATTGCATGATTTGCCGCGCAACTTCTTGCAAGACGCATCAATTAGATTATTCGACATTCTAGAGATAAAAGAATTTTTCTTGGTATGA